CGGAATAAATCATGTAAAGGGAAGAGAGCCTGCCACGAAAAAGTACGGAGGAAGCACTGTCAGCAACAGCAACTGCAGCTCATCACGTGTAAGGAGAGGCAGGACCTTTTCAAACGGAATAAATCAGAGGTGGGTTATTCAGTCACTTGGCATCTCTCATTGTGCTCCTAGAATTCTTCCCAGATGAGAGTTTTCCAACTTCCTAAATGTTTTTGCAATTCTACTATTTTTAAGGTCAAACCAAGCACCCAGTGAAGGGCACAAGGCTGCTTAAAGTCAAGCACATGGGTGCTGTAAATGACGAAGCAAAGTGAAAGACTGTGAGAACACCAGATCATAATTATGACAACGATTTGTGATGTCTGGATTATCACATGTGATGTCTGGTTACAACACAAAGCGTTCTTTGTATTAATTTATTTAAAGCCATCTGGTTTTTTCACATATTCCCTGAGAATCTTTCATCTGCTCTCAGTACCAGTGCTGACCCGTGTTGTCTGAGATATTCTTTCACTCGATGGGTTTGCTCCCAAAAAGGCCCACTCTTTCTCCCTCAGTGAAGAAAATAGCATGATTGATGTTCTGCCAAGGTTAAAAGTTTTTTTTATTTATGTAAGCAGAAAGAGCGCACTTCTCAGGAGTACTACACTTGACTAAAATAAATTACCAGCTACTCAGCAGGTCAAAGGATGCTTGTGAGTAGCATTCAGTCAAATGGGGGCGACACAGATGCAATATTACAGCAGTACCCACGCCGTGAAATAACCGGGGTATTTCCTAGCACAGAAAATCCTTCTCAATGCCATTTGGTGCATCAGAAAAGCACAACCTAATGCTAAGGATTATGATGTGTTCTCCAGTTCTCAGATTTGCATGTTGCTGTAGCAAAACCTCATCTTTTGAATTCCTAATAACACAAAGCCTTTTCCGGAAGAAAATGTAGAATACGTGAAGTATTAAGAATGATAAAGAGACCTTCTCAGATTTAAAGCCCATGCAAAGGTCCTGCATTAGATCCATGTGATATATATGATGTAGATGACAGTGTCTGTGCTATAAACAGGAGGCAAGGCCAGATATCGCTGGTATCAGCAGGACTGCAAATCAAGGGTGCCTACATTAGTGACTGGACTTAGGTCATCAAACAGGAGGTATAAGGTGGTCTGAAAAACTGTGAGATGCAAGAGTACCAATATTAGAACAGAAAGTGCAGGCAGCAAGGAAATGCCTTTATTTATTTGCAAGCCCCAATTCTGAGTGAGTAGTCACCTGAAATCATGAAGTCAGTCAGGCTATCCAGACCTGGTTTGGGTCTAACACTTGATTTTATATCAACAAATAACACATTGGTACTAGTGGAAATTACTTCCCATGTTTCTGTATTTCAGAATAGGCTCCGGTGATCAGTCCTCCAGGAGACCGGTATTATCAATATGCTGCCACCAATACCCAAAGTAGGTGTGCAGAGAAAAGCACTAAGATTCCCAGGAGAAGAGCTGGCAGGGAAAGAAAATCTCATTTTATGATTTCCATTTACAGTCGAAAATAGCCTGTCTGCTGGGAGCAGCAGTTCTTTGGAAAAACAGTGATTATGAAGACTGTGGTCTTATTTACTTTCCGCCAGTGTTGCAGCACACTACGTATACTCAAAGGGTATTTTTAGTCACAGATTCTGCCAGGCAGCAATGCAGTGGAGTTAATCACATATAGCAAATTAAACAAAAGCAAAAAAGCTGGTAGGCTTGGGGGGGCCTGCAGCAGCTGAACGTTTTGTTACCCGTTCTAGGCAAACCTTCCAAAATTGCATATGGGGAGGGCCAAAGCAGTGGTGTTTGTTTTCTTTTTTACCTGGATCAACCAACCTACATATGTATCTACAGCTAGTAGACTGAAGCAGGCTGAGAAATCTGCCTATATTCAGTTTATAGTCAGAATTAAAACTCTTCTG